CTATTTTCTTAATTTTTTTTGTTTTAAACTTCTCAATTCTACATTTTTGTAAGTTCTATCATTATATTATCATCCTCATCTCCTCCCATGTTCTACTTTATCTTTACAATATTTAATATTCTTAAATAATTTATATTTTTAATTATAATTTTTTAATATATATTTCATAAATTAATCAATTATAATCTATTATTTGAAAAACTAATCAATTCTAATCAATAATTTAGAAAACTAATCGATTATAATTAATTATTTGAAAAAATTATCAAATATGATCGATCATTTGAAAATCTAATCGATCAGAATAAAAAATGTGGTTGTATATGATAGCGGTTCCACCTGGAACCGCTCTTAAAGCGCACTTCTAATAGCGGTTAAACCTTAACCGCTATCTAAAATATATTTTAGGTAGCGGTTAACGTGGAACCGCTATTATATCGTTTCAATTATGATCGATCATTTCAAAATATAATCGATCATAATGAAAACTTACATTAACTATTTTTTTGAATATTATGTTTTTAAATTTGCTATTAGAGAAAACCTTTCAGAATTCAAAATGTTAAATACTTTTAAATATTAAAATTAACTTTATCAAAAATTAGGAAAAAAATTAATCCAAAAGAGTTCAAAAATGTATTATAATATTGTCAATTTTGAGTTTAATTATATTGTTCATTCTCAAAGTAGAAAAATATATTGTAATTATTTTAATTTAATAAAATATAATTTAAATTTTTAATACTAAAATTAAAAGATTAAATAATAATAAATTTATTTCTTTAAATTGAGTATTTAGAAACTAAAATTATAATTTCTCTGTTTTAAAAAATTGAAATAAATATTTAAAAATAAAAATCAAAACTAGTATTATCTTAAATTTATTAACACTGTAATTAAATATCTATTTTCTTAATTTTTTTTGTTTTAAACTTCTCAATTCTACATTTTTGTAAGTTCTATCATTACATTATCATCCTCATCTCCTCCCATGTTCTACTTTATCTTTACAATATTTAATATTCTTAAATAATTTATATTTTTAATTATAATTTTTTAATATATATTTCAGAAATTAATCAATTATAATCTATTATTTGAAAAACTAATCAATTCTAATCAATAATTTAGAAAACTAATCGATTATAATTAATTATTTGAAAAAATTATCAAATATGATCGATCATTAGAAAATTCAATCGATCAGAATAAAAAAATGTGGTTGTATATGATAGCGGTTCCACTCGAACCGCTCTTAAAAGCGCACTTCTAATAGCGGTTAAACCTTAACCGCTATCTAAAATATATTTTAGATAGCGGTTAACGTGGAACCGCTATTATATCGTTTCAATTATAATCGATCATTTCAAAATATAATCGATCATAATGAAAACTTACATTAACTATTTTTTTGAATATTATGTTTTTAAATTTGCTATTAGAGAAAACCTTTCAGAATTCAAAATGTTAAATACTTTTAAATATTAAAATTAACTTTATCAAAAATTAGGAAAAAAATTAATCCAAAAGAGTTCAAAAATGTATTATAATATTGTCAATTTTGAGTTTAATTATATTGTTCATTCTCAAAGTAGAAAAATATATTGTAATTATTTTAATTTAATAAAATATAATTTAAATTTTTAATACTAAAATTAAAAGATTAAATAATAATAAATTTATTTATTTAAATTGAGTATTTAGAAACTAAAATTATAGTTTCTCTGTTTTAAAAAATTGAAATAAATATTTAAAAATAAAAATCAAAACTAGTATTATCTTAAATTTATTAACGAGTGTAATTAAATCTCTATTTTCTTAATTTTTTTTGTTTTAAACTTCTCAATTCTACATTTTTGTAAGTTCTATCATTATATTATCATCCTCATCTCCTCCCATGTTCTACTTTATATTTACAATAGTTAATATTCTTAAATAATTTATATTTTTAATTATAATTTTTTAATATATATTTCAGAAATTAATCAATTATAATCTATTATTTGAAAAACTAATCAATTCTAATCAATAATTTAGAAAACTAATCGATTATAATTAATTATTTGAAAAAATTATCAAATATGATCGATCATTTGAAAATCTAATCGATCAGAATAAAAAATGTGGTTGTATATGATAACGGTTCACTTGGAACCGCTATTATATGTTCACTTTTAAGAGCGGTGTAAATATTAACCGCTCTTAAAAGTGACAAATATTTTATTTATTTATTGATACATTTTTGCATCAGATATCGCTCGAGTGAGACCAGTGTCGCTCAAGCGAAATACAACCCGAGAATGCCAATTTTGTGCAGGTGGTGTCGCTCGAACGATGTTACTTTCGCTTGAGCGAATGTTGACCTGCGTAAACATCGATCAAAGTTAGCCGGATAATGTAACATGGGTGACCTCATGTTTGAATCGGATGTCGCTCGAGCGAGAATAGTGTCGCTCAAGCGAAATACAACCCGAGAATGCCAATTTTGTGCAGGTGGCGTTGCTCGAGCGATGTTATTTTCGCTTGAGCGATATTGCAAAAATCAGATAAAATCATCGATTATTTTCTCATTAGCGACCGATTTTAATTCGGTCATTATTTCAATTTGTAATTCGGTCGCTAAATCAGTCGCTAAATGATTTTTTTTATTTATGTATGAAATAGCCACCGATTTAGCGATCGAAATTTTGCGACGCAAAATATTGGTCGCTATTTCGGTCTCTAAATAAAAAAGTGAAAACCAAATCATATTTTGGTCGTTAAATCGGTCGCTAATTGCGACGGAATTAAAGTGGTCGCTAAATCGGTCTCTAATTGCGACCAAAATTTAATCGGTCGCTAATTGCGACCGAAAAAATTTGGTCGCTAATTTCGGTGGCTAAATGTGCTTTTTCTTGTAGTGGTTGTCCTTCCTTTACTTCCACCCGATGCCCGACAAGTATTTCAACAACAACCTTCCCAACAAGGATCACAACAACAATCACAGGAGCAGCAACAACAACAATCACAACATCAACCAGCTTTCGCAGAGCAACCTCAAAATGAACAAGGACATTACTCAAATTATTAAGACACTCAAACAATATTGTCATAATATTTATTATAATACTTCTTTGGATTTATATGTTCTTAGATATTTTGAATGACTATTTGGTGCATGCTAATATTAGGATTTGTGTTTGATATTTGAATATGCACTTGGTGCATATCAATATTATGGAATATTGTTAAATTTGATATCTAAATACTTTGTGTGTAATATGTATGTAATTAACAGATAAAATTTAGTTAAATCATTGGTGGTGATGAAATTTTATAATGAACGTGGTAATTACCTACGAATTTTATCCATAGGTAATTATCTATGGATTCTGTTCGTAGGTAATTAGCTACGGATTACAATCCGTAGGTAATTACCCACATATGACATTACCTACGGACAATAATTCCGTAGGTAATTACCTACGACCATATTACATACGGATTTCCTACGGAAAAAAAATCTGTAGATAAAATGACATTATCTACGGATTTTTACCATTACCTACGGATTTTTGCCGTAAATAATCAGCTTTTTTTTTTGTAGTGAACTATGTGGACGGATGGACTTACCAGTCTTAATTGATACAAAGGACAATGTTATCGCATCATAATTTTAATATAGAATAATAATTATAATAAGTAATAAATTTGATAATAATAATAATAAGTATTAATTATTTTATTTTTTTTAATATTTTTATTATTAATATTTATTATTATTATTATCATTATTAATTGTTAAAATTATTAAAATTATTTTTTATTAATTATAAATTTATAATAATAATAACATTAAAAAATATAAATCATTAAATAATAATAATTATTAACTAAAAATTAACATTAAAACTAAAAAATTCATTGTATCCATCTTTGCCAACATTCCATTTTCCAAACTAGAGACCCTAAGAAAAAAATTGAAAAAAACTTAAATTGACTCAAAAACACGTGAAATTTCTAAACACACAAAACCATGGATTCATATTCTGTATTTCACATCACATAAGATACCTAAAAAGAGGGATCCAAAATATGTAATCGAAAGAATTCGACATCAATGCTGGAACGTGATCTATCTTTGCAGTTCGTTTAATGGTTTAGGTCAAAAGTTGCCATTGGAAGAATAAATGATGGAAGGATGAAATGTGGAAGGCAGGTTTTCGCTTCAAAGACAACAATTAAAATGGGAATTAAGGTTTATCTCAATAAAAAAAATAAAAAATAAAAGCAATAAATCAACTTAATGTATTTACAATTTTGTTCCAGAGAATTTAGATCCATATAAACCATATATTTTAACTAAAAATGCTGACTAGGATGTATAAGACACGAATGAATTATCCTATAATTAAGACTCAAATCTCATGATACATAAAGTCTAGTCATCGCAATTATAATGGTGTTACAAGTCCTTAACCACCAAAAATAGTGAGGTTCTGCAAAATCAAAGGACAGCTTGAAAGTACCTACGGACCAAAAAAATCCAGGCCTAAACTATTCTTGACCATCAATGCAAGAAAAAAAAACATTGTCTACCATAAACTCAACGCAGAATCTTACTCAGAAAATAACACCCTCACGTATTTTAGGAATAATATTTTCACCATAGAAATTACCCGTTAGTCAAGAAATTATAGTTAATCTCTCCTAAAATTCTGAAAACCAACGTCAATTCTGAACACTCGTTCATGTTAAGGCTCCGCTTCTGGTCTATTCCAAGATAGAAATTAAGAGAAGTTAGAACATATATAAATCCCTTGAATCATTGTGGTGATGAGCGATTCTCTAATAAAGAAAATTATACTGATTAATAAATCATATACATCATCCTCCGAGAAGAATAATTCAAATACGGGGAGGAAATCTATGTTGCATCCTTTCTACACTGCTTTGTCCACATAGCTTGGTGAGAGAAAAGGAAACCTCATAGAGGGAAAAGAAAAACAAAAGCGAAAATTATGAACGGAAAAGTAGTTGTCTCTGGTGTTTCCCTCATCCTTGTGGTGGGTGTTGCCATCGGTGTTGTGGTTGTGGTTAACAAAAATGACTCTGATCCTCACATAGCTTCTCAACAGAAGTCTGTGAAGGCAATGTGCGAAGGCACCGATGAGCCTCAGCTTTGTCACGAAACTCTCAGCAGTGTGAAAGGCGAAAGCGCCTCAGACCCAAAGGTTTACATACAAGCAGGAGTGGAAGCAACGATGAAAAGCGTGATCAAAGCTTTGAACATGAGTGATAGGCTCAGAGTGGAGCATGGAGACCGCGACCCTGGCATAAAAATGGCTCTGGATGATTGCAAAGACTTGATAGAATTCGCGTTGGACAGCATCGAGTCCTCGGCTAACTTGGTTAATGACCAGAACCTTCAAGCGCTGCATGACCAATCCCCAGACTTCAGGAACTGGTTGAGTGCTATAATCGCGTACCAGGATTCATGCATGGACGGGTTTAACAACGAGACAAACGGCGAGGAAGAGATTAAGAAAAAATTGAGTGAAGATGGTTTGGACCATATGGGAAAGCTCACGGGCATAGTCCTTGACATTGTGACAAACTTGTCCAAAATCCTTGAGAGTTTTGACCTGAAGTTGCAGCCGACCCCCGGTTCTCGTCGTCTTCTAGAGGTGAAAAATGCAGGACTCCCTTCGTGGCTCTCTGCTGCAGATCGGAGGCTCCTTGCTAGAGTGGGGAAAAGGGCAGCAGCCGCACCAAACGTAGTGGTTGCCAAGGATGGTAGTGGTAAATTTAAAACCATTAAGGAAGCTATTGACTCCTACCCTAAAGATCTCAAAGGCAGATATGTTATTTATGTTAAGGCTGGGGTGTACAACGAGTACATCATCATTCCTAAGAAATCAGCCAATATTCTCATTTATGGTGATGGCCCTACAAGGACCATTGTTACTGGTCGCAAAAACTTTGTAGATGGCGTCAAGACAATGCAAACTGCTACCTTCGGTAACTTTTTCTTATTGCATCACTTATGATAATGCTTATTTTCTTACAGAAAATTGGCATAAACTTGTTTTTTTAATAAAATATGAAAAACATTTTTCTCTTAAAACCATTGTTTCTCTCACTATCAAATATCCATAGTAAGCATAGTTAATAATATTTTTTTTTTCATCATTCTCTCTCTCAATCTCTCTTTTTGCAATGTTTTGTTTTTTCAACATCCCAAAAATGTATTTATGCTCAAAGTGCATTTAACTCATTCTGCATGCATGCATGAATATACACAGCCAACACTGCACCAGGATTCATCGCAAAGTCAATGGCATTTGAGAACACCGCTGGATCGAGCAAGCACCAGGCAGTGGCATTCAGAAACCAAGGAGACATGTCAGCAATCTTCGACTGCGCAATGCACGGTTACCAAGACACATTGTATGTCCACGCGAACCGTCAATTCTACCGCAACTGCGAAATCTCAGGCACCATCGACTTCATCTTCGGAGCATCTGCTGCTTTGATCCAGAACTCCAAAATCATCGTGAGGTTGCCAGACCGTATCCAGTTCAACACAGTGACAGCTGACGGAAGGAGTAAGAAGAACATGGCCACAGGGATCGTGCTCCAGAACTGCGAGATAGTGCCAGAAAGGGCTCTGTACCCTACTAGGTTTCAAGTTAAATCGTACTTGGGGAGGCCGTGGAAGCAATATTCAACAACAGTGATTATGGAATCCAGCATAGGTGACTTTATTCAGCCAGAAGGGTGGGCCGTTTGGAGTGGGAACCTTTATCTTAACACCTTGTACTATGCTGAGTATGCTAACAGTGGACCTGGTTCCAATCTTCAGAAAAGGGTCAAGTGGAAGGGTTACCATGGAAGTATTCAAAAACCGGAAGCCACAAAATTCACTGCTGCCCAATTCCTCAAAGGTGGACCTTCCGGAAATGCTGATGATTGGTTGAAGGCTACGGGGGTTCCTTACACGGTTGGATTCATCAAACAAAAATGATTGTTTGACAACCCAATGTTAGTTCTGAATGATAGGTAGGGTGATACTCCAGGCTTATCTTGTGCAAGTTAATCCGTCTAGTTAGAATAAATTAGCTTCGTTCTCAGTTCTTCTTCCAAGTTTGGGTGGAATCATATCTTGTACATGTGGTTTCAAACATGAGAAAACTCTGCAGCTAATATTTGAAACTTTTACTTTGTATAGTGTCTTCATAAGTGTATCACAAGTTAATGATATATGAAACCCTACTGATAAATCTACCACTTATTCTTTCTCTTTCTTTTCATTACGTTATATTTTATTAATATATAGTTATTGAGAGATGTCAAATAACACGAGCTTTGTCCTGCAACATGATTATTTGGGATGAAAGAGATTAAATAAAAATGAAAATAAGTTAAAATTATTATTATAATATTAAAAGTGAGTTATTTGTTAAAGTTGTATAAAATTGGGTTGTAAAAGTATTATTTTTCTTATTTTGGGGTGCTTCACTGTTTTTGTGTGTTTGGGTCTTAAACAATATTTTACAAAATAACCTTTTAGGAGAGATGAAAGAGAGTAAGTAAAAGACGAGGTGTACAAGGAAAATATAAGTTTTATATTCTTTGTAATGGTACCTCTGGTGCCTTTATTTAATAAATATATCTAATGCATTTTTTCTTTCTGACAAAGAAAAAGAAAACATGAGAAATAAACAATTGAAAATTAAATATAATTTAGTTTTAAAAATTAGCATTTAATGCGTGTTTTTTTTAATATTTTTAAAAATAAAAAACAAATGAACCATTATTAATGAGACAAGGAAGAGTATTGATGAGACTAATTCCATAAACTACTTGGTAACAAACATAATCATATGATAGAAAATTAATAATTAATAAAATCATATGATAGAAAATTAATAATTAATAAAATCATATGATAGAAAATTAATAATTATCATCTTGATTTTGATTATGATCAAACATAAATATGATCAAACATAAATATTATCCCATACTCATAAATATGTTGTAGATTGGATGTGAAAACGTACACTGAATTAGTCATAATGATGATGTCCCCTTTAGATCACTATTGATCTTATGACCTTCCACCTGAAGAGCACCTTTATTTTTCCTCTGAATTTTCTCTCTTGATGGAGATAGAAAGAAAGGAACGAGAATTGAGACTCATGTTCTTTGTGTGTGCTCTAAGAAGGGGATCATGACCTTTTAAATAACTAGAATTAGGTTAATTACTTAAGTTTTAGTATTTTTAATTTGGCCCCTCATCAAATTAGAAATTACTCTATGGTCTCTACACAATTTTATTTTCATGACATATGCCTTCAGCCAAATTTTTAATTTAGTCAGATCACTTTATTATTTGGTTTAATAAATAATGGCCCTAACACATTTAAATTATGTATCATATATATACATGACCAAAAATTTGCCAACAATCTCCCACTGGTCACAAATATATGTTTTTACAACCTTACAAATGTGTTAGACTTTATGAGCTCAAAATTTTCATTATATTCCTTTAGCATACTCCAAAAGTCCCGTCCATTGATCATATCAGGATATAGAATCAAACCAGCTTTTCATTGCATCACCGCAACTAAAACCAACAATGATTACTAATCCTGACATAACCAAATGACACGGATTCATTATGAAATGTGTAACCTACACATCTATTTTCAATTGGTCCAAACTTTAACTTATCGAGATCGATATAATAATCTTAATATATAAAGTGTAATGAATGAACGAAAAACCACATATCTATAAATAACCAAATATGTCTAAAAAATCAATGTATACATACATGAAATTAAACATAGAACATAAAATATATGAAAATGACTAACTCCCACTAAACCACAAATTCCTCAAACTGTAAAACACCCATGTGAGCAACATGCTCATGAAAGACCTTGGGCGGAAGTCCTTTAGCTAGAGGATCTACTATCATGGAGGTTGTCCCTAATTGTTCTATGGAAATCTGTCCACTCTGTACTCTTTCCTTAATAACTAGGAACTTAATGTCGATGTGTTTTGACTTAGTCGAGCTCCTATTGTTGTTGGAATACAATGCAACTAATTTATTGTCACAATATAACTTAAGTGGTTTTTCAATACCTTTCACAATTTGTAGCCCTGTGACAAAATTTCTCAGCCATATTCCATGATTTGATACCTCATAGCATGCTACAAATTCTGCTGCCATAGTAGATGAGGCTGTAAAGGTTTGCTTGACACTGCGCCAAGAAACCGCACCAACTGCCAACATGAAAATGTAACCTGAAGTGGATTTCAAACTATCTTGACATCCTGCAAAGTCCGAGTCAGAAAACCCAGCGATCTCCAACTGGTCTGACCTCCTGTATGTGAGCATATAATCTTTTGTTCTCTTTAAATATCTCATGACCCTCTTTGCTGCTTTCCAATGGTCCATTCCTGGATTACTTAAATATCTGCCTAGAACCTCGACTATGTATGCTATGTCTGGACGCATACATACTTAGGCATACATCAAACTCCCTACAGCTGATGCATATGAAATCTTCTACATTTTCTAAATTTTCAAATTCCCCTTTGGGCACTGATTGAGACTAAACTTGCCTCCCTTAGCAACTGGAGTATCCCTGGATTTACATTCATGCATGCCAAACCTTTTAATAATTTTTTCGATATAGTTCCTTTGTGATAATCCTAAAATACCCCGAAATCAATCTCGGTGTATCTGAATTCTTAATACAAAAGAGGCATCACCAAGATCTTTTATTTTGAAATTCTTTGATAAAAATTTCTTGGTTTCGTGCAATTTGCCTATATCATTAGTGACAAGTAGAATGTCATCAACATACAAGATCAAGAAAATATACTTACTCCCCTTAAACTTGTGATACACACAATCATCAACAATATTCATCTCGAAGCCAAATGAGAGAATTACTTGATGAAATTTGTAGTACCATTGACGAGATACTTGTTTTAGTCTACAAATGGATTTTGTCAGTTTGCAAACCATATTCTTTGGATCTCCCTGCATAAAATTTTCTGGTTGTACCATATAAATTGTCTCATCAATATTGCCATTGAGAAATGTCGTCTTGACATCCATTTGATGAAGCTCCAAATCATAATGTGCTACAAGAGCCATGATTGTCCTAAAATAATATTTCGATGAAACTGGAGAGAAAGTCTCTTTAAAGTCAATCCCTTTCATTTAGGTATAGCCCTTAGCTACCAGACGAGCCTTATACCTTTCCACATTACCTTTAGAATCCCATTTGGTCTTAAATATCCACTTGCAACCAATGGGTTTCATACCTTCTGGTAATGGGACAAGTTCCCAAACCTTGTTGTCTTGTATGGAATTATACTCCTCCTTCATTGCTTCAATCCACTTTTCAGAGTTAGAACCTTGCATAGCTTGACAGAAGTTAACTGGGTCATCTTCCATCATATCATTGTTTTCCTCATGTTCCTGAAGAAATACCATGTAATCATCCGAAATAACACTTCTTCTTTCTCTAGTGGATCTTCGCAAAGTTATTGGCTCATGATGCATAGGTTCTTGAGGATATTGAGTTTGTTCTTCATGAATAACCAAATCATATTGAGTAAGGGGTTCATCAACAATGCCTTGTGGAGGTTCCAAACTTACTTTATAAAAGTAACTATTTGAATCGGTTCTGGAATTGTTACCGATTCTTCCTCCAAGACAAAGTTCCTAATTGTATTCTTCCCTCCAAACTCAATATCCTCAAAGAACGTAGCAGTTTTTGTCTCAAAAATTATCTTTAATGTGGGATCATAAAATTTATATCCCCTGAATCTTTCAGCATAACCAATAAAATAACTACTTACTGTTTGGGAGTCCAATTTCTTTTCATTTAGCTTATAAGGCCTTACCTCAGCTGGACAACCCCACACATGAAAATGCTTCATACTAGGTTGTCGCCTAGTCCAAAACTCATAAGGTGTTTTAGTAGCTGCTTTAGTTGGTACTTTGTTTAGAATATAAGTTGCCATCTTTAGTGTCTCTCCCCAGAGTGACTCCAGTAAGGTGGAATGACAAATCATACTCCTGACCATATCTTTAAGAGTCCAGTTTCGTCTTTCAGCTACACCATTCACTAGGTGATCCTGACATTGTATACTGTGGGACAATTCCACACTCCTCTAGGTACCTAGTAAAAGGTTCTGGACGTTGTTCACCTGACCCGTCAAATCTGCCATAGTACTTTCCACAACGGTCAAACCTGACAGACTTAATTCTTTTGTTGAGTTGATTTTCAACTTCAGCTTTAAATGTTTTGAACACGTTTAGAGATTGTGACTTTTCATGTATAAGGAATAAGTATGCATATTATGAGTAATCATCTATGAATGATATAAAGTATTGTTGATCATAGGAAATGGTCCACAAATGTCTGTATGTATCAACTCTAAGACGTTTGTAGCTCTATATGCACCTAATCTCTTCGCTCTGGTCTGTTTGCCCTTAATGCATTCAAACAAAGATCAAAGTTTGTGAAGTCAATGGACTCTAAGATTCCATTTGACACAAGTCGTTCAACTCTATTTTTAGAGATGTGACCTAAGTGCCTGTGCCATAATGCTTCTGAGTGAGTATTGTCAATTTTACGTTTAGTACCACATGATTCTGTATTAAGGGTTTCATTATAGGTGGTCACAGTATCAAGTAAATAAAAATTATCATAAGCCAAAAGTGAACCAGTTCCAACAATATCTGAATTAAAAGATAAAATGAACTTATTGTTTCCAAATGAACACAAATAACCTAATTTGTCCAAATAAGAAACTGAAACCAAATTTCGTCTAAATGACGACACAAAAAAAGTGTTTTTCAAATCCAAATAAAAACTAGTACTCAATAACAATTTAAAATGTCCTATAGCTTCTACCTCTCCCGATTTTCCATCTCCAATATATATCCATATTTTAGAATCAATTGGATTCCGATAACTTAGGCAACCC